AGCGAGAGAGGGAACACAAACGGGGAGTGGGAGAGGGAGAAGCAGACTCCCTGCCGAGCAGGGAGCCCGATGCGGGACTCGATCCTGGGACTCTAGGATCATGACCTGAGCTGAAGGCAGTCGCTTAACCAACTGAGCCACCCAGGCACCCAAGAGGTTAGTTCTTCACATCACTTTAGATGGACACATTTTTTCCACCTCTAGAAATCTGTCACTGTCAACCCCTCTTCACTCTCTCACCATGAATTTGAGGGAATGGTGCAAATTTATGAGTGCAGAGTAAAGAAATCTTGGAGGGAGGGAGCAGGACTGACCTTGTTGCTGCAGATGTGTCTTCCCTGCATCAAGAAGACCCAAGAGGAAATGGGGACAGGTGTCACTGATGTGCGCTTGTAGTCTTACATTGATCACATGATACTGATTGAATAGTCTGCAGACCTGCTGAGCCCTTCTTCCTCCCTTTGGAGATGGCCACCATGACTTGTTCTGGAAGATCATGAGATCTGATCCCTGATACGTAATCCACATGAATCCTACTGATGGTTCCCCAAAGTGCAGTTCACAGCCTTTTGCTGCCTGTACCTGAAAGGGATCTGGGGAAGAGAGACTGTGAGTTTCAGGACAGGGGGAATGAAAGAAATGAAATGAGATGAGTGGAAGCCAAGGATGGTGGAAGCAGAGGGAGAAGTTCAGAGGATTGAAGGAAGTGGAGCAAAGTTTGGTTTGAGAAGAGGCTCAGCCAAAGGAGAAGTGTTGCTTGCTGGAGGCAGAAGAAGAGGTGAAAGACTGAGGAAGGAGCAAATGTTGAAAAAAGAGACATGAAGGGTCTGGGTAGAGAATAAGGAAAGGCTCAGAAGGAGAGCTGGGGTAAAAACAATCAAGGGAAAGGGAGTTCTGTGGGCCACAGGGAATACATAGACAAACATCACTAATGGGATTCAATGGGGAGAAAGCAGCGTTCAAGGAGACAGTCACAGAGTGAGGGAGCAAACGTGCCTGGATGGAGCCAAGGGAGAGGGGTGGTCATGGGAGACACAAGTATGAGACAGTGAGGATAACCTGCAGTCAATAAGAGGAGGGGAAATTGCAGAAGGCACGAAACTTTTCAAGAATTGGGATCTGGCTTCTACCTCCTCCCCTAAAAGGTGTAATTCAGTTTCATAATGAGGAGACATGAGGTTCAGAAGCCAGTGGAGGCTCTTTCCTAGAGGAAGAAGGAACTCAAGGAGACATACACACCTGCCACCTCCATCCCACCACTGAGGGAACTGAACTCACATTCAAGCTGCCATTCACTGAAATGGTCCTGAAATATCAGAGGAAATCTAATGGAGAATGTATGGAATGACCTTTCCTGTTCCATCAACTCCTTGTTGCTGAAGTTGCCCTTGGATCAAGGCCACAGGCATGTGAAATTGCCAGAGTCACTGTCCCAGCCATGAGTCTGTAGCTCATCCAGCCAAGCTGAGCCTAGCTTTTGTGTCCAGGAATCATTGTAAAAGGATGTGGTCAGGATGATTTGGAAGGAGAATGTATCCTGGAAGTCTGTGGAAAAAGCATATATAGACTATGGGAGAGGAAGACATTGGGAAGAAGAGAGAATGTAGATGTGCCAGGGAAGGGAACCAAAATCTGGATGACAGGAAAGCCATAATTGTCTCAGGAGATATGTGCTGCCCCAGAACTATGAGCTTCGTACCCATCCTTCAGAAGAGCACAGGGCTCTGGAGTCAGGGAGCTCAGGAAGGAACCAGGGTGACACTCTCCTTCCCCATGTATGTGCTGGGGAACCCACACCACAAGTGCACACACACACACACCACAAGTGTACACATGCACACATGCACAAAAACCCTATACACCCATAAAAAACTCACACATTTACACAGTCTTGAAGAAATAAACATGCAAAGACACACACGCACTCAAGTATACACAGAGACACACATATACACACACGCACATATGTACACACACACATTCACATATTAAAACACACACATAGACACACAAGCATAAACACACACACACACACACTTGCACCCAATGGGCAGGGCCAAAGATTTCACCTTCTTCACTGTAACCACCTGGGAGGAGAACCACAAACAACACAAGTTGCAGGAATAGCATTGTATTTGCAGATGTTCTTTCTTTGTCTTACAAAGTCGGTCTTTGACGGTTGTTCTAACAAACCTACCCCACACACAGAGCACCTCTCTTCTGACTTCCTTCTCCACACACCAACCTTCCCTGAGTCTCTGCAACAATGCAAATATGCTCCTCCCTCAACCCTTGACACCTACTCAGGCTCTAACTTCCTCTCCTATCTGACCCTCCTCTCTGACTTCCAGCTTCTCCCTGTCATTGGCTTCCATCCTGCTCCCTGTTCCCTATTTCAGTTGCTATGGAAAAAGTCTTGTGCAGCATGGAAAAATCATCCCACCTCTCATGGCTTTCCTTCTCATCCAGATAGTAAGCCGTGAAAACGCACCCCTCCTAGCATCCAGCCCTGAACCTGCTGTTACTGCCCTTGTGAAACTTCTCATGTATTTCCTTCTCTGTTTTGCCCCCACCCCAGCTCATTCATATCTTGACATCTCACTGCTCCTCTTAAAAAAATAAAACCCAAGCAGGTAAATTTGATGATCTAATTGGTATTATTAAGTGATTGAAGAATCTGGCTGCATCCCATCTAGCAAGTAGAGGGGTTCCATCTGCTGAGAGAAAGGCGGGAACCCTTAGAATGTCCAGTCCCCAAAACTGAAAAACAAAGTACCTGGCTGGGGATGAGACTGGACAAGAACAGAGCTAGTGACCCACTTTCTGTCCCAATCAGGCTAGCCAGCAGGGTACCAAGAGCAGCTCCTGCTGCTGGAGGGGCAAGAGTCTGAAGATACTTGCCCATGAGGCTCTTCCTCTTAGAAAAAGAAAATCACAGGCCCGAAAAATGGTGTCATGTAGACCCACTTCCCACACTGGGGCTTCACACTGGGACTTCATACCCAGTCTAATTACAGTTTCAACCTCCCCCAGAAATTTGGTCTTAACCAGTCAAGCAGGAACTTTTCCTTTCCACCAGCACTACTGAGTCTGTCACCTGAATCCTCTCCATATGCCACAGGCAAATGAGGTCATGTGTATGATAAGACCTCTTGCTTTTCTCCAAGAAAACAGGCCTGACCCCTCAAACAATGATCTTTTGCTATTAACTCCCTGGCCCCAACCTCCCTCTACAAAAACCTTCCATTTTGTACAACTCCTCTGAGAGCACCCTTGCATGCCAGATGGGGAGTCTCTTGATTCATGGATCATTTAATAAAGCCACTTAGATCTTCACATATATGTGGTTGACTTCTCTTATTGAACAGTCTGAAGTTTGAATCTGGGTGATTAAATGTAGACATGAAAAAAGAAGGAGCTTAGAGGAAGAGATTATTCCTGATATCTTAAATATCTTCACACAGACCTGCTTCTCCTACCTGTTGGAACCACTCTCAGAATATGATTACTATACAAATAGTAAGCTGAATAAGTGATGAAACAAAAGAATGAATCGATGTATTGTGTCAAGAAGAATTCCATGGACTCTGAAAAACAAACTGAGGGTTCTAGAGGGGAGGGGGGTGGGAGAATGGGTTAGCCTGGTGGTGGGTATTGAGGAGGGCACATTCTGCACGGAGCACTGGGAGTTATGCACAAACAATGAATCATGGAACACTACATCTAAAACTAATGATGTAATGTATGGGGATTAACATAAGAATAATAAAATAAAATAAAATGAAAATTAAAAAAAAATTTCATCTAACAGCTACAGGGCTATTAACTGGGATTGTATTAAATTTATGGAATAACTTGAACAAATTTGATATCTTATAAAATTTCACCTTTTCATCCAAAAAAAAAAGAAGAATTCCATGGAAAATTTCTTGCATTTTGAGTATTTAACTGTCATTGGCATGACACTTCCTGGTTTATTACATGTGCAGCTTGTCCTTTCATCTGTAGGAAAGCCCTGAAGTATAAAGATTTGCCAGTTACTTAAGCCAACAGCAGACCCAGCACCTCAATTTCTGACCAGTCGTTTGTTAGAATCTATGAAAACACCCAGGACAGGGATTGCTCCAGATGTCAGGGTTAACATGCAAGACAGGGGAAGAGTGTCACAAGATGAGAACACATGGGGGAAAAAAAGGCAAACAGGCAAGAAAAAGAATAAAGGCATACTTTCAAAAACCAAAGGAAAAGAAGAGGGAAGTGAGGAGGAACCTGCAAGGAAGAGAGACATTAGCCTAGCATCCCCTAGGGGCCACCTCTATCACAGGGGATCTACCAGTCACAAAGGATAGAAATACACCTTGTTGGGTTTAAGCCATATGGGGAATGTATTGGCTGATGGAACTGGGGGCCCAGGGTCATTGGGGATCCAGCCCCTTCTGTGGGTCTGTGTATATGCCTTTGCCTTTCTGATGCTTTGATTTTGTTGTTGCTGCTGTTTTCGGCATCACTGGAGTATGAGGATAAAGGAACATTGGACCTATGGACAGAGTGCAGCTTTCCAGCCTCCCAGGAAGGAAGGTTGGGAGGCACCACAGGCCTTGTGGGCCCTCGCTGGCTCTAACAGATGCAGCAGAGCTGTGATGTGACATGAAGGAAGGTCATCTCAAGGAAAGTCTTCCAACAATTTCTCAGAGAGGACGGCCTGAAGAACCACAGGAGTCCGGTGCACATGGGCATGCAGGAAGCCGCACCTGGATGCACACATCCTTACCTATGGATCCTCCAGTGAGGCATGCAGCATTTTGTAAGGAAAATGCAGAATTGGTCAAGAGAACTTCTATTGAAGCAAATCATGAAAATTAATATTTTATGTAGCATTCATCACATGTTTGAATACTTTTATTTGCTGGCCAATAAACTCTGCTTTCTTTTTAAAAATATAAAATGAAGTAACCACTTGATATTTTAGTGTATGTGCACATGCAGCCATGATGCCCACAACCAGGCCAATTAACATGGCCACCACTTCACATCCTAACCCTCTTCTTTCTTTTTTTTTTTTTATTAAATTCCAGTTAGTTAACATACTGTGAATATTAGTTTCAGGTGTAGAATTCAGTAACTCATCACCTACATACAAGACCTAGTGCTTGGGCGCCTGGGTGGCTCAGTTGGTTAAGCGACTGCCTTCGGCTCGGGTCATGATCCCGGAGTCCCGGGATCTAGTCCCACATCGGGCTCCCGGCTCAGCGGGAAGCCTGCTTCTCCCTCTGACCCTACCCCTCTCATGCTGTTTCTCTCTCTCTCTCTCTCTCTCAAATAAATAAATAAATAAAATCTTAAAAAAAAAAAAAGACCTAGTGCTCATGACAAGTGTCCTCTTTAAAGCCCATCACCCATCTAACCCATCCCCCACCCACATCCCTCCATCAAATCCTCAGTTTGTTCTCTATCTTTAAGAGTCTCTTCTATGGTTTGCCTCGCTCTCTTTTTTTTCCCCCTATGTTCACTGGTTTTGTTTCTTAAATTCACATATGAGTGAAATCATATGGTATTTGTCTTTCTCTTACTGACTTATTTCCCTGCTCAGAATACACTCTAGCTCCACCCACATCTTTGTAAATGGCAAGATTTCATTCTTTATATAATGAATAATCTTCCATTGTATATATATATACGACATCTCTTTTATCCATTCATCAGTCGGCAGACATCTGGGCTCTTTTCAGTATTTGGCTATTGTTGATAAATGTTGCTATAAACCTTGGGGTGCTTATGTCCCTTTGAATCAGTATTTTATAATTTTTGGGTAAATACATGGTAGTGCTATTGTTGAGTCATAGAGTAAGTTCCATTTTTAACTTTTTGAAGACATCCATACTGTTTTCCAGAGTGGCTACACCAGTTTTCAATCTCACCAACAGTGCAAGAATGTTCCCCTTTTTCTGCATCCTCACCAACATCTGGTGTTTCCTGTGCTGTTAATTTTAGCCATTCTGACAGGTGTGAGATGATATCTCATTGCAGTTTTCATTTGTATTTCACTATGATCATTGATGTTGAGTGTCTTTTCATGTGACTCCTGGCCATCTGCATGTCTTCTTCAGAAAAATGTCTATTCATGTCTTCTGTCCATTTCTTAACTGGATCATTAGTGTTATGGGTGTTTATTTTGATAAGTTCTTTATAGATTTTGGATACTAACCCTTTATCATATATGTCATTTTTCAAATATCTTTTTCCATTCTGAAGGCAGCCTTTTAGTTTTGTTGATTGTTTCTTTCCCTGTGCAGAAGATTTTTATCCTGATGATGTCCCAATAGTTTATTTTTCTATTCTTTCCCTTGCCTCGGGGGACCTATCTAATAATAAGTTTCTACGGCCCATGTTAAAGTGGTGGCTGCCTGTGTCCTCCTCTAGGATTTTCATGGTTTCCGATCTGATTTAGGTCTTTCATCCATTTTGAATTTGTTTTTGAGTATGGTGTAAGAAAGTGGTACGTTTTCATTCTTCTGCATGTTGCTGTCCAGTTTTCCCAACACCATCTGTTGAAGAGAGTCTTTTTTTCCATTGGATATTCTTTTTTTTATTATTTTATTTTATTATGTTATATTAGTCACCATACAATACATCATTAGTTTTTGATGTAGTGATTCACGATTCATTGTTTTCATATAACACCCAGTGCTCCATGCAATACGTGCCCTCCTTAATACCCATCACTGGGCTAACCCATCCCCCAACCCCCTCCCCTCTAAAACCCTCAGTTTGTTCTTTCCTGCTTTCTCAAAGATTAGTTGACCATAGAGTTGAGGGTCCATTTCTGGGCTCTCTATTCTGTTCTATTGATCTATGTGTCTGTTTTTTTTGCCAGGACCATACCGTCTTGATGACTACAGCTTTGTAATGCAGCTTGAATTCCAGAATTGTGATGTCTTAAGCTTTGCTTTGCTTTTTCAAAATTGCTTTGACTGTTTAGGGTCTTTTCTAGTTCCATACACATTTTAGGTTTGTTTGCTCTAGTTGTGTGAAAAATGTTGGTGGTATTTTAATAGGGATTGGATTAAATGTGTAGATTTCTTTGGGTAGTATAGGTATTTTAACAATATTTGTTCTTCCAATTCATGAGC